TGTCACAGATCACATCCGGCGCCGCTCGAGCAGTGATAATGCTCCTTGAACTTTGAAGCTAAGGTTGCGATTGAGATGCTCGTGGTAGGATAGCCTTTAGCCCAAAATACGGGGCTCTATGTCTCGTGAGAAAGGACGCCTTTGGAACGGGCCCGTCCACCGACTGAGGACGAGCATTCGTGCGCGTGTTCAGCGATATGAAGGGCCGGTGCATGGATCGCCTCGTGGGTTTAGGCGCACTCATGTCGGATTCTGGCCGGGGTTCCTGTGGGCTGGACGGATACAAATGCTTGTCAATCAGATGACGAGACGACCGCGTGGAATATTGGAGAAGGGACAGTGGATGGGGCATAAACAGGTGTATTGACAATGTTATTACTCCCCTTTTTATAACGGCCACAGCTGGCTTAGATGGTATTACCGAGTACTCGGGGGTTGTATTCTTGCTGCTACATACATCATGAAGAGCTCTTTCATCCTCCCTTCCCTATCATAAGATCGCCAACTCACCCTCATCCATCTCCCCGATCCTGGCGGATTTATCGCAACTCGTCAAATGGCTGTCCTCCGTGCCATTCTTCCCGACGTGACTCCGATCGCCCCTCAAATGCTGCCGTCACAGATATTCACCGAGTGAGTGAATACAACATGACGGGACACGATGGCAGGCATGATTTTATAAGCTAGGACCGTAAAAGCATGAAGGGAGAATGTGTACATACCTCGGAGAAACACCGCTGCCGTCGCCCATGGGCACACGACGACCGTGAACTGTGGCAACATCGCACGTCGCTCTGGACTGTTGCTCAGCACGCACTTGAGCTAGACGGTCCGGTGAACAGGGACCGTTCAGATCTCCTATAGGCTTGCCTTCTTACATGACCCGCACCGTCTGAATGTGGCTATTCAACGCAGCATTCACGAGACCTGCAGGTGGTCAGAATCACCTCCATCGAACAGCGCAGGACACGCACCGGTAATCTCGATCTGAATGGGAGCGCAATTGATAGCTTCGCGCTCTCCATCTTCCGCAGCCCAGACGCCATATCTCGCGCAAAAGCGGCTCCCGATGTTGTTTTGTTGCCCACCGGAAGACATGCTTGGAATATCCACACGAAATGTACGCACCTACAGCCATTGCAGATTTCTCAGCCCGTGAGCACAGCTCTGCGATAGCGACTATCAAATACGGTTTGAGTCAGCATGATGACTTACGGTCGGTATGTCTACATTTGCGCGTTTGCGACCGTTGTGGCTTCCGGTGCCAGCCGTGGCTAGCAGGGCGTGGTGACGGGTAAGTGCAGCAAGCTTGCTTGGCCGGCTTGTGTTCGTTATTGCTTCGAGCAACCAGAGGTCAGTTCACAAGCTTCGACAGCATCAGAGCCGGTATCTCACAGTAAGATTGCCATATTTGTGGATAGCCATGCTTGCATCCTCTCAACGGTCGTATTGAGCGTGGATGCTCCGACAATCGAGCCTTGAGGGGAACTGCCCATCGAGAGGCACACTGCATGCATAGGAGATAATGCTCTAGCTCATATGTGAGAGCAGATTAGTGACAATGAGCGAGCATCAAGAATATCTTGGGCCTGACCTTACCAATATCCAGGTGAAATGTGAACGTCGAGGGAGGAACGTTGACGGTACAGGCTGACAGCCGGTGTCCCCCTCGACGCGTCTTCTGCTTACTAAATTTGCGCTGTTTTGAGGTTCGACAGTCAGTGAATGGATGGACTGATCAGAAGCTGTCTGGCCCATCTAGACTTACCTCGAATGTCTCCCAGATTCCGATGCCCCATCACGAATCAAAGACAAGCAAGTTAAGCAAAAGCGGACCTGGTCAAGCTGTTGAACCTTCAGAATGCCCAGTCGCATGCGAGACGTTGATTTCATATGCGCCGCATGAGTGTGAGTGTCCAGAAGATGACGTTAGAAGCGCGTTGATCTGGGAGTAAGTGGGCACAAGCAGTCGAGCGCGCAATGGTTGCATGGCACGAAGAAATGAGCCAATGTCGAGCCGCGAGCCAGAGAACATCCCGTCCTGCTCGCGCTCACGTGATGACAATGCCCGTCGAGCGCTTTTGTCTCGACGCGCCCTTGACGCGTCCTAACTCAGTCATACTCGCACTCTACCGGGCTCCTAGACCGTTAGGCATTACGGACATACCATCTACCTCTGAGACTGACTGGTGCACCACAGCAACACGCTCACTGGTCCGACGCTCTACATTTCTTGAACTTCGAGATCTCGCTTGCATGGTCAGGGCCACCGTGACAGACACAGGTAAGCCGTCCCAGCAAGGATCTGAGCTTATACAATAGGGAGAGCATGGTATGGAGGAACAGGGAGGGAAAAACTGAGAGGGAGGAAGAGGTGCGGGGTGAAAAGTGTTCACAGGAACGGGCGTGAACAAGGTGAGTCAGATCACTCTCAAATTTGTCATAGAGGGCGGCATTGCATGGTAGACCTGTCAGAGATGTTCTGGATTTGAATCCGACTCTCGTGGATGCATCCGCATCTCGTTCTGATGGGCTGCAGTAAAGTTCACATCAGAATATCGCTATTATATCTACCATGCCATATCATCTTCTTTCTTTCTGGATGACTCTGCTCAGGTGCGTTGTCCGATATGATTCTCATTGATGCGAAAGTCGCCGGCACAAATTGAATTAACAGCTCTTTGACTGGGTACCTATGCATCACCTGCTCGATGTTGTGCAAGGCTGGTCAGAGTGGCACGGGACCCGAAGCTTGGCAGTACCCGTTTTGGCATCCAGGCCGGCGTACAGCCGATCTGTGCAGGAGCCCGCCACCATAGCGGGGTTCCAAATTCCAGGATAGGGTTTAATTTCAGTTGGCCGCACCCACGCCGACATTGCGAATCATCTCACAGCTCCGAGCTCCCTCCGAGGAACTTTTGTCGACCCAGTCAGCTCAGCTCGGTTCGTCGATTCTGGGCCCGTCGATGAGTGACGCGTGACAGGAAACGTTGCAGATCAGCGCGCGATCCATCAATCCGACGGCTGTCTTGTCGCGCGAAGGCAATCTCGTGGGTGCATTCCCCTTGATGCCCGGCCTTCTTGGTTCTCCAAGGTCTGATTATTAATATACGTATAACTTCGAATGACTTCTGGTGCATCTCAGGAGCCACAATTGGCATTCATTAACGAACTAGCCCCAGTCTGCACGGAGGAGGCCCAACCTCGGCACATTGCACTTATTCTCCTGCATGTACACTCACATTTGGACTGCCTTCTATTGACTCTCGTGAGACCGTTCTCGGGTCGTGGACCATTCGAGAAGCTCGTTGGAGCAGTACGCGGTAAGGCGCCGAGCGAATGTCTCTACACTCGCAATGGTGACGGCTTGTGCTCGAATGAAACATCCGTATAATCGCATTCCTCACCGTGAGTCATACTGTGTACCCTCTAGTCTTTCAAGTATCCGTCCTGTTTTTAAGTTTGCTCAGAGCATGCAGGTGAGCCCATTTAGTGACCTTCTTTCACTGGCATTGGTCTGGCCCAAGGAATGTTGCAATTGCCAAATGCACGGCACCGGCAGCATTGCCTGCTGACTCTTCAGAAGACTTCCTGTGTGATACGGCATGCCTGGTGAGAAAAGCTTGAGAACGGCGGACATTATCTACCTCCCTCCTCGCATCTCCCCTCCCCTCCTCACATCTGCCTTCTCACCCCTCACATGCACATCGCCGTCTCCTCCACTCTCATTTTGCACTGGTCCTGAATGCCCGCCCGCCGTGGAGTCTACGCACCCCTCGCTCGCCGTGGCCATGTTCGGTGAGTCCTCTCATGTCCCGTCGTTGCTGACCAATTTGTTTTCCGGTAATCGTGCGGCGTGTGCATAAGTAAGCCCGACCGCACCTCCTGCCTCGGTTTCGCACCGTCTCAAACTGTAAGTGCACACAACGATTGATCACCTGGCTTGCGCTCACGTCTCCTGATATATAGACACGTTCTCGCCGCCTGCAATGTTTCAGCCCGTGAATCGAGCAACGATGAAGTAGCAGAGTCCTCGTTGAGAACGCCGGTCGCATTCTCCCGCGCTCGGTCAATAATTCACGATCGCCCGTCTCGATCGCCAGCGCACAACATTATCGACACCTTCATACTATCAGGCAGCGAAAAATATGTATAGGCAGTTTCTAACGGCTTTAGCGCGCTCGCGAGAAGACCGCTGCGAAAGTCGGCTTGCCAGCAGGAGACCACCGAATTCGCGAGATGTACCATTGCGGTGCCCGTGTCTGACGCCACGGCGGACGTGTTCCACTCACCACACTAACCGACGCGAGACCTTTCCCAGTTAGTACGCGTAGCGCCGACAGCTTCAACACAGTCGTCCAGGGCTGTTACGATGCTCGGCTTTCCACCCCATGGCCAATGCATTCGGGACATGTCCGTCGCCCGGCCCATCCTGTAGCCTTTACATGTCGAGGTCTGGCGCCTAGTTGGCATTTCCAGCCCGAGGTTGCTCTTGACTCGGATGCTGATGCAGATACGCCAACTGCAAGTTTCCGGCCTCGGCCCACCGCTTCTTTGCAAGATATGGTGTGCGTATCGCATACCCACTCTAGGCACAACCACTCACATGCACAGCTATTTTGCAGACAGCGTGTTGCCGTTGCAAGGATGCTTTCCCCGACGCCATCCTGATCGTCAGCTGCCCAGCGCATAGTCGCTACATTCAGGTCACGTCCCTCGCACGGTAGATTCTCGCAAGCCCGCGTTTGGCGCTAGTCATCAGCGTTCCCAGATCGCTCTGTCCGATGGATGCGATCTTTCCGAGGTAGCACGACCGCATCACGGCATTTGGGACTCGTCTAAATGAGCTATCTCATATATACGCCCCTCTCCGCTCGACCGCTGATGTGGACACGCTCACTGGCAGTTCTCCGGCTGCAGCCAGACTGCCGCTTTGCAAGACGCTCCCTCGCCGTCTTGTGGATATCGCGTGCCCACGTCTGGCGCAATCACCGACGCATTCGTGTCATCATTTGAGACGGAGCAGGTGCTGTGCTGCCCTCATGAGGCCCGCTTGCGATGACGAGGGTACGAGTCTCTCCCCGTGTCCGTCAACTCCGTCGACGGCTTCAACATGATCGCCGAGGACGACGGCGAAGCTATGCTAGTCGGCACACTGTATTTGCACCTTGCCCATCCTGTTCTCGAACGCCTGCGTCCGATGCAACCATCGACGCTTCCCACACGCTCAACCAACCCGAATCAGACATTTCAAGACAGTGCACGGTCGCTGCCTCAACGTTGAAGACCCACTCCGTCATAGCGTCGCGCACGCATGCGAGTCTTCACCCCCACCCCCCGACCATTGACACGAACGCGCTGACCATCGTATATCGCGCCCCGGGGTTAGCGCAGACGAAAACGCTTTCACTTCGCCCGTGCCCATGCACGTCTTTTCCCAAACAGCGCTCTGCTGCCGGCGCGACGTCCACTGAGGACCCGCCCAGACGCAGTTTACCGCTCTTCACCCGTCCACCAAACGCCCACGTCTCGCAAGACCAAACCCACCGCGCCGACACCCGACAGCAAACCTCCGAGCCGGACCTTGGACTTGGACACAGCGGCATCCGCCGCTCCTCTCGTAAGTTCCGTCCACACGACTTTCCGGTTGGCCGTTCCTTGCGGTTTTCCCGGGGGCGGCGTTGTTCTTCGGAATATCCTGGTACGCTGCGCGTGCCGACCGTCTGCCCCATCTGACTCGACTAACGCGCGCCAGGACGACTCGCACCTCGCACCTCGCACATGTGAACAAGAACCCGCGAATCCGCGCCGACTCGGACCCGGACCTGGACGCTGCGGCATCCGCCGCTCCTTCGTAAGTCCTTTCCATCCGCACATCTCTCCATCGCCCGTCGCTCACGCTCACGCGCCTTCCCGCACAGAACGCGTTCATCGCCTCGCAAGCAGGTACGTCCGCACCGCCGGTCTCGCATCTGCCTCCTCGCCTCACGTCGCGGTCGCGGTCAGGCTGCCCGGGCTGATCAAGACCTTGGGATGGATTTGAAGGGGGTTTGGGTAGATGGATGGATGTCATAGCGTAGGGAAGAGGATATTGGATTAAACATAACATACGTAGGAGGCACGGCGAGGACGACCGTGAATGGTGTGACGCTGCCGCTGCGCAGCTGGTGAGGTCCCGAGCGCGCCCGAGGTTGCTGAGGAGCATGCAGGCGCGCAACCGAAATGGGTGCGCACACGATGAGTGAGGAGGCTTGGCCTCGAGCAGAGCGGCGTCGACCGCCCAAGGTAAGAGTGCTCGCTAGCACTGACGGACGCGATGACCGGCGAATAAGAGAAGGCGCAGTGGGGTACGCGTCCTCCCAGCGCGCACAATTGCACGTCGCTCGGTCGCGTGTCGCAGGCCTTCGACTCGCCCACGATGTGGCATGTGAGCGCGCGAGGGGCTCATCGCAGTGACGACGCACGCGTCCAGCGGGGCCCTGCGGTCTCGCCTGTGTCGGATTGGCCGTTTGGAGAATGAAGAAATATATTGGATTGAATGTGAGTAGTACAGAGGAATTATGAGAGCAGGACCGAAAGACGCGAGATAGCATACCTCAGAACCGTACGTCCCGTCCAGCGCCGCCTCGTCCGACGGTGCCTCGACACCCGTAGCGATGAAGGCCCGCCGCGGCACGTTATACACCGACGCGTGCAGCACGACGGCGCGCTTCTGCGATGCAACGCTCGATGATGTCGTCGTACCACGTCTGCACCGTGTTCGTCCTCAGCTCGTTGCCGTCCAGCGCGCCGTCTCGAAACCCTGCGCCATCGTCTCCATCGACATCGGCCTGTCCCGTGCGGCGTGCTCGGCATGCATCTCGATGACCGCGAGTTGGCGAGTTGAGTGTGCGGCCCGAGATCGAGGCTGCCGTGGGCACATTGACAAGTGAGCGGAAAGTTGAGCGGCGAGAGGGATGAAGTGAAAATGGGCACCTGTGCGTCGACGCAGTACGGGCGTGGGAGGGCGCGCGGACGAACGTCCATGGAGGCGATTGGTGAGTGGGGATCATATCCGCGTACGCAGTTCACGGAAGTATGATACTATGAAACTTTAGAGTCTTCAATACCTAACAAGGCGGATCACTTGCCGTTTGAATGCTCGCCATGATGGAGTCGATCGAGTCGCACCCGTCGCGCTGCAGAATGGTCGCTGTCAGCATGGATGTGCATGCAACAAAACGGCTAATTGAGAGCGTCGACCGCCACAGGACAGGATTCGTCGTCCGGCCAATAGCGATGCACCGGACGAGGATGGTTTGGTACTGGCTATTAGCTTCCAGGGACGCGCACACGGCCATGGCAACTGCTGTCGTAGCGCTCAGACGTAACCCATCTCAGCGGCTCACGACTTTGAAGGGCGGAGGGAGAGCGACTTGATAGGCAGATGCAGCTCGGCAGAGACGGACGGAGGCAATGAAGGACAAGGACGACTGACGGCGCACGGTGACCGCGGTGTTTCCCAGCTGCAGCAGGTAGGGCCATCCTCGCCGTCTCGATGTTCTAGCGCTGAGCGGTCGCATATTCGCGCAATGGCGATGGCGCTGGTAACGTTGCCGGCGAGGGCGGCCTCGAAGCTTGGAGGGCGAGGGCGGCGCAGAGACGGGCGAGTGGTTGAGGCGGAACCGCGCATGGCGGTCGTCAGGCTGTGTGAACGCGATGGGGAGGGGCGGACGCTTCTTGGGTGGAGCAGTGACAGCCGAGGCAGAGGTTGGCTCAATGACGCGTCAGCGAACGACCGAGTACACTTTCGGCGCTTCATGTCATCTTCGCGCCACAGTCACCGCTTGCACTCATGCACAAATGTCGCGAACTTGGTAGACTTCCAAGCTCAGGTCTTTGAACGTACGCTCTTGCTAGTCTCTGCTATTGATGTAGCGGGCCTGATGAGAATGGAACGCCATAGTTCAGACGCACCACTCCTGGTACATACAAACCGTTGCTGTACTGCAACCTCACTGGCCCGGTCGATCCCACCCATCCCGCTGCGAAAACCCCGCAGAAGCTTCTTTACCATTTGTTTCCGACTGCGAAAGCGAAGGGATTTGCTCTACGCGCGGTCCCCAAGGCGTTGCTTTGGAAGGTAACCATCCCATGGCCTGACCCGCCGTATAGTCCGGCGCCAGCCCGTGGCCCTGGATCACCCAGGCTGAATGTATCGTTCATGCGATTGATGAGCAAGTCGTTGGCAAAATCCTCTGTCGTACGATCAAAGGTCGGCTTGAAGATGAAGACGGCCATTTCATTGATCGTGACGCGTGGAGCAGATGTCGAAACGGACGAGAAAGGGAGGAAGAAGATAGTGTTCAAAGAGGAAGACACTGGAGACAAGTGGATCTTGTCGGGTGCGTTTCGCTACGTATTTGTCGGAGGTTCATGTTCTGATTTGCCCCGTGGTGCCTCATCTATTTAGAATGGACATATATCCATAGCCCGACCCTCGAGGTCTATCGCATGCCATACTTTGATCTGATTCCTGCGCTACGCAAAACGCTCAAGGCTGTCAAGCTTCAAGCGGAAATTCTGGAGCGAACTGTGTGGGCTGGTCGCAAAAAGAAGCCGAGGAGAGAGGCCAGGCCGTCGCCGACATTCGTCTCGCAAGGACGGAAGCCCGACTTGCCCGGACTTTCTGAATTCTTACCACCGAAAGCAGCTGCTACAAGAAAACGTCGCAACGACAAGAGCAACAATCAGCGGCTGCCATCGCCGACATCCGTCTCGCAAGGACGAAAGTCAAATTTATTCGGACTATCTGAATCTGTATTATCAAACGCAACTGCTATCACAAAACGTGGCAACGGCCAGAGCAACAGTCAACGGCCACCATCGCCGATGATATCAGGGAGCGAGTCTAGTGTGAGTTAGTTTTTCTTGTTCATCTAATGGTCTCATTTCTCATGATATTGGACGCATAGCCGTCTGTGCGCAAACACGAATCGGCAATGCCTCGCATCTTCTTCCCATCACAATTCAACTACGGTCCCGAGGCACCCAATCCCCTTGCTCGGTCAGCATCGCGTTCAGAGGAGCAGTCAAGAGATCGGGAAACCACCTCCTCACTCTCTTACCCTAGCTTACCGTCGACAAGCACGGAGCCAGCGGAAGGCGAGAATCGGGAGTATTCACTGGCGAGCACCCGGGCGAAGTTGTTCAGCAAGAAGCCGGTGATTGCGCCTGCTGTGCGACCAATCAAAAGGGTTCCGAAGAAATGAAGACTGCGCTTGGTGTGGGAGTCAGCCATGTGTGCGAATGCTTTGTTCGGTAATGCTATGTTTGTGGTCTTTTCGAGGCTGATGGTCGACTTGATGGGCGTGTAGTTCTTTGCAAATGCATCGCCCCGCTTAAGACTGTACATGCGGTTCGATCTTTAATGCCAAATTCAATACGATGGCCAACTTGTCTGAGCGCGTTTGTACCTTACGGCAGATTCTTCGTAAAGTGGGTTGAAAAGTGCTTCATGCCATGCCGTGCTGATTTTTTCTGTTAGACGTACTACACATTGACGACCAAAGCCGCGTCACAGGCTCGGCTACCGCCAAATTCCTCCGTCGCCACGTTGCCAGTTGGATCGTGTCACAGATCACATCCGGCGCCGCTCGAGCAGTGATAATGCTCCTTGAACTTTGAAGCTAAGGTTGCGATTGAGATGCTCGTGGTAGGATAGCCCTTAGCCTCAAACATGGAGTTCTATGTCTCGTGAGAAAGGACGCTCATGTAACGTACATCGATAGCGTTCTGCGGCTGTGGGTACACAACCCCCTCGCTCTATGAAGCCTAATAGCATGCCAGTTATCAGCAGCATTCTACGCCTGTGCATGGAGCCATATTTCTCAGAAGGCCACAACCTTTGCTGTCGTGCATCTACTCGTTTACTTTGAGGTTCATCGACAACATTTGCTAAGTCCTAACGCCCCATCTTTTCTGTAAGCGATTGACGACACTGAGCTGCTCAAATGGCGATATTGCCCCCCCTAGGTTTTTGACGACATCATCGAAAACTTGGGAAGGCGACAATCGCAGTTTGGCCGCTTGCTGCCTTGTTTGTAGAGCTTGTGTTGAACGGTGCCGCCGGCTTCTGTACGAGCGAGTTGCATGGCCAATTCTCTCTCTTGAGGTTCATCTGTCTATTCTCTTTTTTTCTTTGTTCGCTCATGCTGATGTGTCTCATTCACATTTGCGTTTAGGTCAGCAGAAGATGCGAATCCCTCGGCCTATATTTTCCCACAGAGATTTTTGATCTCGTCATCGATTTTACGGCGGGAGATGCGCGCACCTTGGCCGCTCGCTGTCTCGTCTGCAGTGCTTGGACCAAACGATGTCGCGTTCGCTTGTACGGCCGCGTTGCACTCGCCAACTCCCAGAATTTGCAGCTCTTTTTGAGCACGTTGTGCATGGATCATATGAGGTCACACTTTTCGCAAGTTGACCTATTGTATTACCCTCTTGGTCCCTCGAAAATGGTCGATGAACGTGACAAGGCTGGAGATCCAAGGCGGCGATCGGTCACGGCTTCGCTCGACCCATCGATCTCCGAGCACGTTCAGTGCATTCTCATCTGTCACGACCTTGCTTCTCTACCGCTGCAGAGTAGGCGTCATCAGAGAGTTGTTTCAAACTCTAGTTGCTCTCCCTCGATTAACGTACCTCCCCGTACTTCTCTGTTCATTGACGCAGTTACTTCATCTCAGCACGGGCATATGCACGGCCGCGCCATCACATTGACCCACTTGCGAATGAATGCCGACTAGGACGGGCCTATGGGCATCACGCCATTACCATGAAAGAATGAGAACAACTTGATTAAATATGTTCGCGAAGAGCATTACGAACCACCGATTCCTTTGCTTCAAGGCGCCTGTCATGAGTCCCTGTAGGCGATTCACGATCTTTGTCTTTGATCGCAAATGCCAACGTAAAACCTGCACGTATACCTTACTGCTATTCAATTAGAATCGCTCTCGCTTGTCTTCTTTCAGTTCATACTTATGTACTGTACCGACATAGTATGACAACTTAATGTCCATCAATATATCAAGGTTCAGCATCAAATGACACGATATCGTGAGAATCTTGCATCTACTATTTGATCATTACTATGGTCATGGCTGTGCTTGTCGAACGTGTTTTCCCCTCCCTCAGGTGTTCAAAGGTTCAACGTTCACCCTCCAGAATCTGTATTATCATTCACATTCACGATAGATAGAAGTGCAAGGCACCCTTTTAATATCTTGATCTCACGGGCAATTGACGGCACTGTGAAAATCCCTCCGTCCGGCTGAAGTTTTTATTACTATCGCTATTGCTTCCATCTCCCTGGACGCTTCCGTAGCCTATTAGACACCAGTAAGTGAGAAACAACATTGTACCTCTATGAAATCCACAACTGAGGATGCTGAAGGATGACATACATTTGCCCTCCGTCACACTGACAGGCGCTGAAGCTCATCAAAGTACTGGTTCATCGCGGTGCAAGTGTCAATCGCCCCGTATGGCTTCATTTCCACAGGAGCTTTTCGACATCATCATCGACTGTTTGCAAGACGACCGCTGCAGCTTGGTCGCTTGCTGCCTCGTATGCGCAGCTTGGGTTGAACGGTGCCGCAAAGCTCTATATCAGCGCATCAATCTGTACTCGCGCAGTGACCTCCAGCTCCTCGTGCGCACCTGTCGCATGGCTCACATGGAGCATCATCTTTTGACTCTGCGGGAGCTGGGATTGTTCGGGCATGGGTTGCTTGAGCCCGCCCCAGCCAATCCCGAATCCGCATCTGCACCAACCGAAGGCGAATACATATACCGCGCTTCGTTCCAGATTCCGGCGAAGTTTCTGGCGAACGTCGAAAGGCTGGAAATACGAGCGGCCAGATGGTCCATGCTTCCTTCCGCCAATCGTCCCTCCATATCCTTCGCTGTCTTCTCCTCTGTCACAACGCTGCTGCTCAGCCAGTGCCGTTTCGAAACGTTCGGCGAATTTCGAGAAACGTTGACTGCGTTTCCCCGATTGTCTCATCTAAATCTGCAGAATCTCTGGGTCGACACAGTCACCCCGCCTCCCTTTGGACATTCTCCCGGACACTCTATAAGGCTAGAATCTCTCCAAATCGATTCTGGCTGTAGCGAAGAACTATGCAGCGCCCTCTTTCGATCGTTTCTTCGTTCGGAGACCCGTCGCTCGTTATCACGGTTTTCAGTGAAAGGCTCTGATAAGCGATCTCCTTCTTCGCTTCCATCGTTCCTGAGAATTCTTGGGTCTTCTCTGCTCCGTCTGGATGTTCCGCTATCGTATGTACAAGGTGAGCAGGACGACGCTTACTTATCAGGTTTTCTTGCTGACAGTGCGCGGCATATGAAGGATTGTGCAGAGAGGCCATGTTCTCTCAGCTCGCTGCTGTCGGTCTCAGCGGCGTACACATCTCCGGTGCATCGCCCATAGTCGACTTTCTCTCATTGATCTCAAGCAACACCCTCGTTGTGCTCAACCTCTCCTTGCAGCTCGAGCTCGCGGACGATGGGATCGAAGTACTTGTAGGGGAGTGGTGGGAGCTGGATGACCTGCTCTCCAGCGACCCGCGTTTCTGCAATTTGCGCATGGCCCACGTCGAATTCGCACTGCCGTATCTGGGCAAGCAGCACCTTGGCTCCTCATCAAAAGACGGTCAGCTGGAGGAGGCAATTGCTCAGAGACTCTCGGTGGCATTTTCACATTGTCAGTCTCGTGGCATCCTACATGTTACGGGAAACGTTGTGCTCAAGAAGCGCCGGCTGTCGGCGGCAGCAAACCCTGCTATTGCGTCTCGAAATCCGAACTGAGTGGAAAGACTCGGTGTTCATTATGTTGTTTCTGTGATAAACACCACAGTCTGTGGTAACAATGGTGGAAAGAGAACGTTGCTGATACTACATTCTATGTGGCATCTGTACGAGGGTACAGTCACAGATAACTTATCTGCACTTGATGTGCTTGCTAAAAATGCTGCTCTATATATTATGTCTGGCTTGTGATTATCCAAGAGAACTTCTATGACTCGACATTACAGCAAGTGCGAGACGGTTGGCAACAATGAAGCCAAGGAAGATAATCTGAAGTCTTGTTAATCTCCCAACGGTACGTACTGTGTCATCAAGGGTTCGCATAGGCACAATAATAGCACAAAACTCACGTCCAATGCAACCTTGTATCCTTCCCTATCATCTTTGCTACCTTACGTGCTCGTTTCGGCGATCCTAAAATGTCTTCAATATTTGGCGACTTTAGCCACAATCTCGAAGGCGCTACTCATCATGTCCATAATGCGCTCCAAGAAGTTCACCGAGCATCATTTACTTATCTCTTGTTCGTATGGAGTGATATGTGGGATGTTGCAGTGGGCAGCCAATGTCCCCCCTCACATGCGTACAAATTGTGAAGCCAATTCTGATTACTTTCGTCACATCAAAAGCCACCGGAACGCCACCTTCTGCCACAGCATGATTTGAAAAGCCAGGGCCGCATACCGTGGCAAGGTTTTGTCAGAAAGATCCGCTATGTAGCAGAAGAGACCCAAAAATACTCATCAGACACAATATCTAAATGTAGTTCATTCTAGGTCTCAGTATGCGGACAAAGGAAACACCTCTAGATACTGTCAAGGCGACAGACGTTGCTATAGCAGCAGGGACGAGTTAGGCCGTATACGGCCACTGAAGTCGACTGCCAAACGCGTGGCTGGACTTGTCCGCGCTCGCCGCCTTTCGTCCTTCCTTATACGGCAATCCGCCTGCTGGATTGGGACGCGCTGGCTTGTTTCCTCCCGTAGGACGCAGCATTGCACGGGCTGGGAGGCGATGCAATGGAGACCTTGTTCTGCGTACTGCGACTCGTAAAATTCGGTCCCCCGCGGAGGTCCGAACTCACCGAGACAACGCTCCCCAGTGCCAATCGTCTGGACGTACCGGGAATGAGTTCAATGTTTCCTTTTATGTCTAAACAGTTACCATAGTTAGCAGTTTCTCACGCGACTGCATCCCCATACCCCATGTCTTCTATGCTACGCAATCCACTGTCATTTGCATGTATATAAGGACGCCATCCCGCCTACGAATGGAGCGAGTTTTTCCCCCTGGACTTTACTCGTGCACTCGGATCAGTATTTCAGCTGGTCACGCGCGACGTCTTCGGATAAGCCACGAGAGTAGGCTCTCTCTGTACGCTCTCATTGTGTTATCATCGCATCGTTCTCTCAAGGCGACGTACTACGTTCGTACTCTACTCGACCAGCACGGTATCTACGTCGACGACCCTTCGAACGCAGCCGCGCACTCAGGCAACAATCCCCTCCTCAGAGGATGCTCGAAGACGCGTCGCCACTTCACGACGTTACTCAGCGCACCCGTCTGCGAGTACTCGTCGATCTTTCCGTCAGCCGGCGCAAGTGGACGCGATGATGCTGCTATGGTCGTCGCATCTTCTGCTCGAGATCTCTCTCCCCTGGCCTATCGCGACTAGGCACGAACTAGTGGCTGCTACGCGACCGGCTCCGAATGCCTCACCTCTCGTGGAGACATCTGCAGCCAGGATTCGTACAGGAAGCACTTTGAACCGTACCACATTCAACTAAGCTACCATCGCAACAACTCCTCTGGCCGCCGGCTGGCCGAAACGCGTCCATCGCACTGCGGTCGCGTCCGTTCAGGATCACGTGGGGGCGTAGAGGCTCTTCGCTGGACCAATATGGGCTTCCCCTAGATTCGAATGCGGCCCCTTCCGTGGCTTCGAGGAATCTTGATGGACTGGGGCAGATCGCAATCTGGAGTAGCACCGGTCGTCACAGAGGCAAGTGGCTATCCCTCTTGTGGCAGGCGTTGTCGTAAGCCGCAGAGTCAAGGCCTGTCGCTGCTCCAGCAAGTACAAGGAGAAGCCTTGACGTTGAGCGCCAGGTATCGGCCCAGCGAAACGTGCTCTTGTCGCCGCAGCGACGACGCCCACAATGTCTCGGGTGAAATCTTCGCTGACGTGATAAGGCAAGTCGGGAAGCGCCGGGGCAAAAGAGGCAGGCAGGGCGGCGAAGTACAAGGCCAAGTCGCGATGGAGACAGCGAACGTGAGCGCAGAGATTGATTGCGGAGGGATCGAAGGACGAGGGAGAGACGAGAGGAGAGCGGTGGACGACAAGGGAGGCCAGATGAGGACGTAGCACGTGTGATCTGCGCCAGAACGATGCCCGAATCGACACAAGCGAGTCGCCCAGTTTGTCGATCCTCTTATTCCGCCAGCCCATGTGCTCCGTCCCGACCTTATACCCTCCAAGGAACTCCCTCCAGTGTATAAGTATGGCCACCGCTAGCCGAGACTTCATCACCTCCTCACCGCAGCGACCAACTCGAGCCAGCCTCATTCTCCTGCAACCATCTCTCGCTCTTCCTTCTACGACCACCCGAGACCGCCTAGTTAGCTCTCGCCGAAACCCTACTACCCGCGCGCTCGCGTGCCTGTAATTCGACCCTTCGCCTGCCTGCCTCGGTATCGCACCGCCCTCCAAGTACACCTACACACTAGTATAAATTCGCCGCCATGTTCCAGGTCGCAGCACGCCCCGTCCCCGAGCTTTCTCTCCCCATGTCGTCCCAGCCCGCTCTCCCGCCAAGCCTCCAGCTCCCGCGCAACCTCGCCAGGCCCGCCTTTTCCGAGGTCTCGCGCGAGACCATCGCGGCGCTCAGCCCGGAGCTCGCAGACGTGTCCATCGAATTCATCCGCAGCCACCTCGCTGCACAGGCTGGATAGTGCGTAGCGACTTCCCTTTACGCATCGCACTGAAACTGACGCGAATTTCTGACTTGTCTAGCATGCTGAGCGCACTCAAGCTGCTCACCTACCCCACTTCGCTCCCGCGCGCCCGTCTCCCGCCTACCATCGACGTGCCCATGATGCCCGTCGCCTCCCCGCCCGCGTCCTCCTCCTTCCCCACACACATGCTCGCCGTCTCCTCCTCGCGCGCCTCGCACTCCGCGCCCAACACCCCCACCGCAGGCTCCTTCGTATCGCAGAACTCGTCGACCGCCACCCTCCCGCTCTTCCCCGCACACGCGCTCGTGCTCGCCGTGCACTGCACGCTGCTCCCGCAGCTCCCGCGCTCGCGCCCGTCGAACCGCACCGCCTCGCTCCAGCTGCCGGTCGTACCCCTCACGGTGCCGAACGCGGAGACGTTTGAGATGCTGCACGCGTATCTGCATACGAAGCGCGCGGATCGTCTGCTTGCGGAGCTCCTCCCGCCGCTCGCGAACGTCATCCCCCCCGCGCACGGCGCCGCCTCCTCCTCTGCCGGCAGACCCGCGTACATCTCGCAGTTCACGAGCGAGGGCCTGTTGAGGCTCGCGCATTCACTCGCGTCGAGCGCCGCGGGTCATCCGCAGGGCGCGCTGCCGGCGCTGATGGGCTGCACGAGGGTGATCAATGGGTTGTGGCGGAACGTGTGTGCGCTGGGCGTGTTTGATGCGGAGCTGTGGGGCGTTATGGATGTTGCGTGGGAGATTGTGCTGGCTGCGCTGACGAGGGCCGCGGAGCGCCAGCGTGCTTAGATGGCGCCGCCGCCGCCGCCACATTGCGGGCTGGACTCGCGCCGAAAACGCCAAAACGAACGAACGAAAGAACACACGGAGAATTTCATGCCGACCCGGCCTCGTCTGTCTATCCATCCACCTTCTCCTCACTAATCCTAGTCCCGCGTTATAGTAGGACACTCGCCTTAATCTCTCCCCCCTACTTCGTCTCGGTCTCCTCATCGCTATCCCCTCGTACATACACTCCCACACCTATACCTGCCTGTGTTGTGCGATGTGCTCGGAGCTTGTTACATACCCCTGCTGTATTGCCCCACACTTGTGTATCCTTAGTTGATCATCGCGTTTGATGTTTTGGTCTGGATTGTTTACTTGTAGACGAGAGTGTTGGTTTTAATGAAAGACGGGTCTAAGACTCGAGTTTGAATTTGAACCTCGGATTCAATGATTTACTGAACTTGTTTGAATGGGCTTGCGTTGCTGTCATTGCTTGGCACACACTTAGGAGACGGGAATAGAAGAGACGAGAGTTACGGATGATGCTGCAAAACAAAACAAAAACATGAAAAACTTCCACATCGTGAATGCATTAAGGGGGAATCGAACCCCCGGCGGGTCGATGGCAACGACCCAGGTTACCACTACCCCATTAATGCGCGGTAAAGTTGTTCCCGCTTAATATAAAGTGGTGTATACAACGCGTCGCGGTCAAGTGACCTCGGTGTTCATTTCTCCCCAAGCACTCCTTGCCTCCTGCCTCCATCCATCACCGCCCACCCACAGGCCACACTCTACCCCTCCCCTCCCACATCTCTCAGCTTCACACCCCACCTGTACATGGACATCGACACGTCCGACATTGGACGGTACGGGACGCTCGCGCTGCTGAAGCGGCACGAGCCGGACGGCGTCGTCGCTGCGTACCCGATTGACGAGCCCGAGGTGACGGTCGGACGTGACCCGGCATGCAGTATTCGGTTGTATTATCCGAGTGTGAGCGCGGTGCATTGTAAGGTTGTGTTTAATGAGGAGAATAAGGTATGTGTGTGGGTTTTTTTGTGTGGCCGGATTACCGTACATGGCTCGTTGCGGGGATGCGCGGAGTGTGCTCTAGGTTTGAACATTCTTCAAGAATATACTTTTGGTGTGCGATTCGTGCACCTGCGTTCGCTTTGACGTAACTGTGGCTGAGATGCTCTGCGCTGGACGCGTTAATGCTGTATTTCGTGACGTCTCTGTTTACGTCGTCGCATTGCTGTTGGAAAGCTGAGGAGTTCTGCGACGTCATCACCATTCTGTGATTCCTAGCTTCAAATCCTTTAGCTTATCCTTGCATCTCATCACACAGGCATTTCTAATCGTGTTAGGCACGAATGGGCTCCTTATCGATGACTGCCCCGTATACCCCGCCCCTCCCAACAGCCCACCAACTACCGTCCCGCTAACGAATAACACGACGCTCGACATCCACAAGAAGCGCTTCCGTTTCACCTACCCGCCGAAGCACCTCCGCCCCGCGCTCGCTGCGCTCCCACCGACGCCCTCTGCGAACGAGACGCCGGGTCGCCGCCGGCGCGCGCTGCGCATGTCGATGATTCACAGCGCACATGTCTTCACCCCCCGCCCTTCTGCGGACCCGCGCGCGAACCTCCGTGTACTGCAGTCTCCACTCAAGGCGCCCTTCGCGAGGAGTGGACGCGATGAGGATGATAGCGATGACGAGTATGAGGATGGAGACGGTGAGGAGGAGAGCGAGGAGATCGTGTTGGTGGAGAGCGACTGTCCGCGTGTGCTCGAGTCTGAGAAGGACCTCGTCATTCTTGACCACGTCATCGTGGCTGATCTGCCGGTCCCGCCATCGCCTGTTATTCCGCAGACACCGCCGCGGTCGCCTACCAAGCATACTCCAGTGCGTGCTTCGCACTTGATCCCGATGCAGTCTTGGGCGCCTCCGCGCACGCCGGTGCGCCGTTCACGTCCATCGCTCCACCGCGCGGTGTTGATTCGCTCTGCGCAGCGTGCGGCGCTGAGGCAGGAGATGCAGCGGGAGGAGGAGATGGAGGCAGAGGAGGTTGAGGATAGTATCATGGGAGATGATGAAGAGGAGGGGATGGAGGGTATCCAAGAGCAGTCTCGCGAGGAGGAGAAGGAAGGAGAGGAATACGAGGAGCAGGTCGTGAAGACGAAGGAGCACGATAGGAAGACCTCGATGTCGAGTTGGAGACGTAGTCTGGATGCTGTGAAGGAGGGCTTGGGATGGGCACTTCGTGCTGCATCTCTTGAGGTGTGTTTCAGCTCATGTATCACGTGCGTCCAACTGAATTCTAGTGCAGAGAGAGAATGCCCCCGAGGAGCCTACCCAGGATGGTCATGACGAACATGAAGAGGCACAAAATGAGGATTATGACGACAACGCCGAGGCCAATGGTACTATGGACCATGAGCATGACCATGAAATGCAGGATGAGAATGAACAACCTTTGTACGAAGAAGTTTATGAAGAAGGGCACTCGACGTACCAGGGACAGTACGATGAAGAGGAAGAGCACGATTCTCGAAACGAAGGAGACTCCCGACCCGAGACTGCCCCGCTCACACCCCCACATGTTTCCCGCCCTCTTGGCCGATTCATGACACCCCAGCTTACCATCGCTGACCGCCACGTGCGTTTACCCAATCTACGCTATTCCGTGGGTCCCGGCACGCAAGGTAGTGACACCTCTATGTATGGTACGTCCAGCACCTTCGACGTGTCAGGACCTCGCCGCGTGCGTCTCGTCGAGCCTTGGAAGATTGAAGACATCGTCGTACCGCTGAACGATACCGAGGCTGCGGAGGACGAGGAACATAAACATGTTGAGGAAACGAAGACGACCGAAGAGGAGGAGAGTAAGGCTCCGGAGCCGTCGCCCAAGAAGAGAGGGAAGGTGTCCGTGGAGGAACGAAGGGTCAGTTGGTGTTCAGTCAAGTACGATGAATAACACTAATGACATTGTTTGTTTTACGCAGGCCATCCGCGAGAGGCGACGATCAGCATTGAGGACGCCCGACACATTCTTCAATGGCCAAGTACCGGGATCGAGGCGGACAACGCTCCTCCCGCCGTCCACACCCATGCTGCCCGCGTTGTTCGCGAACACAGGCATTCTGTCCGCCAGATCAAACGAACCCAGTGGGTCCTCGGAGAACCCGCTGGGGCCGCCGCCCGCTGAAGAGAAGGAAGTGGCCGTGTCAGTGAAAGAGGAGGAGAACGCGGAGGACTCGCAGGTGCTTCTTGCACGTATGCGCCACATGGTGGAGGGCGTGAGGCGCCGGCAGAGTGTGGAGACGGGGGAGCTGTCGAGGAGGATGTCGGTGAGCCCGAGGAAGAGAAGAGGGTTCTCTTTGTTGGCAAGGGAGAGGGATGAGGAGGAGGATGCAGAGGAGAGCAGGATGGTCCGGGTGCAGGAGGAGGTTGAGGGGCGGCCGGAATTTGAGGGAGACGCCATGATGGAGCAGGAGGGGGGATATGAAGGAGAGGATGATGTAGAGGGGCAAGAGGCTGATGCTGATGGAGAAGATGAAGAGGCGGAGGTTGGCGTGGAGGATATTCAGGAGGACGTCGAAATGGTGGAAGAGATGGATGAGCATTTGGAAGCTGGAGCGGAAGACGAGGTAGATATTGAGGCAGAAAGAGATGCAGAGTTTGACGAAGCAGCCGTAAATGGACCATTCGAAACGGTGGAGGAGAGCGCAGATGCCACCCCGTCTCGTCCGCTCGAAGTTCCTCAGACACCACAATTAAACGACCTCCGACATCTCTTCTCTTCACGCGCGGCTCCTTCCACACCGAGGTTTTCCGGCATGCGCGAAATGTTCCAAGAGGGAGCATCTGGTGTGCAGGAGACGCCGCGGATGGACGGCGTCCGAGAGATGTTTCTCCGCGAGAGACCTATCGCCGGCATGGAGGAGTCTGCCTTGGAAAGTGTCGGCGAATTGCTAGCGACACCTGCTGGATGGAAGAAGGCCGCGATGGAACAACCGGCGGAAGAGTCTTTGAAACAGGAGCCTCAACGGCAGCTTGTTTCGAAGGGGACCAAGGTATCTCGACTTGCAGCTTCACGCATTGCACGGGGAAGAGGTACTGCCGTTGCCAGTTTGCCAAGAAAGACTCCACGGTCGGCCATTCGGCCAGCGACAGCTCCTAGAAAAGCACCGATGTCTGCTCCGGGGGAAAGTGTCCCAGTGGAAGGCTCAAGTTCCCAGACTGATGTCGGTGGTACCCGTGTTGTGCACAGGACAAGGACGCGGACGGCAGAAAGCGAGCAGGTGCGTTACGATGCTCAAGTAGGTGCTACAAGATGCTGATGTAGCGATCTGCCATGCAGGAAGCTAGCATTCCTCACTCGACCCGTGCACGAACAATGCGGACGGAGGAGGATCAAGTATCTGAATTGGTATGTTCGACTGATTACTTTGTATTGCACAGACCGAAAATAACGATCGTCAATTATAGCCTGCAAAGTCGACTTTTGCTGCTGGCAAGTCCGCAGGCACAGGTGCGAGCGGTAAAAATGCAACCCCTGTGACGAAGGTTACACGGCGAACGCGTCAGACTCCAGAACCTGAAGCCTCTGTGACGCCAACGACTGCTGCGACACAGTCAGTCCGCCGAACACGCCGGACGCCCGTCCCCGAGGAACCTCCAGCGCCCGCTTCGACGCCAAGGACAACGCGTCGCGCAGCGAAGCTACAAGAGGTTGCAGAAGAAGCTAGTACGGCGGATGCAGCTCAAGCAGAAGGGGCAGGTCGCGCTCCGGCGACCACTCGCGTGCGACGGACCGTCCGAAGCAAGATACCTGTTGGCACAGTCAAAGAGGAGGAGGACAGCCTTCCTATTCCCCTCCCTCGTACGCGCAAGGCAACTGGGGTCCCAAGGACAACGGCAGCGTCCGGCAGCACAGGGAAGAGCGTGTCGCGCACGCGCAGCACCACATCAGCGAAGAAGGCCGGGACAGCTGCTGCCGCTGCTACCACGGAGGCTCCAGGCTCCACTATGGAGGAAAGTGGGGCACCCGTGGGTGACAAGGAGAATACGCCTGGCCCGGAGGAAGAGCCGACGCCTGGGAGGACGGTGAGGACAAAGGCGACACGGAGAACGGCGAGGGCGCATGCGGGCGCAGAAGTGGCTTTGGATACGGAGGAAGTGACAGAGAGGACAGTGGTGCGGGCTGGCAAGACGAGGGCAGCTGCCTCCAGGAAATAATACTGTTTGCTTATTGGTGATATATGGATCCCTCGGTCTTTTTAATCTATAACCTCACTCTTGTCTTTGTTCTCAATCTGTGAAAGCTATGCTACAATTGTTTGCATAAATAATAGCAGCGCTACTCATGGTTCAGAAGAGCATGTATTAAACATGACTGGCAGTCCCCCTCCTCCCGCGGAAGGCATGATGAAGGGGAAATCTAGTAGAGCCGACAGACATTGGCCATTCTTAATCGTGACTCCGAACAAAGATCTCGCTTATCATTCTGCTCAGCTTTTGGAACTGTGAGCATGTGAACACAGCGCGGTACATGGAGTCAGCCATCAGCCATTTGTCGTCACGGTGAGAGGTATCCTAAGAAGATGAAGAAGAGCAGAACTCAAGTACGCAGATTTGAGTACTTATGCATTATGTCTACCACTGTCTGAGACGTTAAAAAAACGAATGTCGGTACGATTATAAATTCAATGTCACGATTGACGAGAACAAGCATCGCATTCGTGGTGTATGGATACAATATTCATAACATACAAATACTTATGTATAATAGCAAGTGCGATGGAACTGGTTCGTGGAAAGAGCACTGCTTGAGAAACGTATCAGAGTAAGGAAAAAGGAAACTTCGTCGTGGCAAGCCACCGAGTGAGATGAACAAAGAGACAGTGATTTACGCAGTCATCGCGTCATAGTCGCAGTAAACGGCACGCCTGTACTGCCGGCATGCGTTCGAGTCTTGTAGAGTCTTTACGCAGTAGTCAGTAAGATGCAGAGAGGTGGACGAAGATCTCGGGCGGCACGCACTCATCGAAATGCTTCCCGCGTTTGGGATCCGCCCGGCGCTTTGCCATCGAGCGGCGTACTTTGTCCTCTGGACGCACTACGATGATGGGTACGGGCGAATGGCTCAAGCAATACCTGTTGCAACGGCGCAAGCCATGCATAGTCAGCAACAACGTGTAACACAAATCTTTTGAGCAAGAGCGCACTTGGACACACTGCCAATCTTCCCTGGGGCGCCGAACGCCGCGCCCCAAGCCTGCATCATGCCGCGCTGTCCACGCGTGCCAACGACTATTGAGTCCGGGCGGTAGAGGGAAATGAGTCGATCAATGGTCTCCGGAACCTTGCCCGCAATATATTCAACGATAATCGAGAGCTGCGAGAGAAGCGTCAGTCTCGAAAATATGCATCATGCATAAGGATGCTATAAGACTACCTTTCGTTCAGCGTCAAATTCGACGCATCTCTCCTGAATATACCGCATCAGCTCACGGGCGTCTTCGCGGTATTGATCATGGTCTTTCTCTACATAGCTCCGTCAGTGACGCTTCGCCCGGAAGATAGTAACATGGAGGACATACCAAGCACTTCCGTATCCACGCCACGAAATACAATCAATTCGTCACCGTCCTGCACCAGACTCTCCAGCGCCCAATCTAGCGCTTGCGTCCCGCTCTCGTCTGGGCTACTCGCGCACAGGAACACGCGCGTATGCCTATTTCTCTTGTACCCGTCGCTTTGCACATGCAGCGTGTACGAGAACATGCTCGCCTGCGGGTTTTCGAGCGTGTCAAACGATACCTTCGGCGTGTAACCCTGCGCCGCGACGAGCGGGGACGGCGGACCCGGGGACGCCGTGAGAGGCGTTGAGATTAGTGGAGATGGGGAGGAAGTGAGTGCTATAGGATTGGAGGTCGAGAGAAGAGGAGACTTGATGGATGTCGAGCCGGGCGTATCGGGCCGAGAGATAGGGGAGGATGAGTGTTTCATCGCTGAGCGCAGCGGCGGCCCTGGAATGGGCATGTAGCGCGACTGTTCACGTTCTGGTGAAGTCATAGCGGGCTGCTCCGACACAGTATTGTAGGTAGCGGGTGAGGTCTGTTGAGATGCAGGTGAGATGAATTGTCCACGTCGATGAAGAAGGCATGATGACAAGCGGAGCAGTCCTGCAATGGCAAAGCTGCTCTACCTGGCCGTGCAGACTGGCGGGCAAGGCTAATTACTGAGCATTGTGCATACGACAGACATTTTCGCCTCTCGGAGTGCATTCGACCTGTAACGTTGTGTTTCTAGGCGGTGCACGTACCTATTATCGGTGGTGACCAACGTATATGAATTTTCGAATCAAATCAAACTTCACGCCGATCGTGCGCAGGACTGGGGCTGAATCCTGGAGAAGTCTGCGTTTAGTACCGAGATTGCAGATAACAAGCTCCTAGCTGAGATGAAGAACAATAAAGACGCGGCTCGGCGTGTGAAGGCATGGCACACTAAGCAACGCAAGAATGCCATTGCGGCGAATTACTGAAGGCAGTGTACGGTTCCGCAATTACTAGTACTAGTCCAATTGAGGGCAAAGCTGTCGAACACAGACACCGTTCGGTGCACAACTGCAAGCGTACCCAGTCCTGATATGTCTCGCTTATCAGAGCATGACTTTTAACAGGCAAAGCATTGCCCACGCAGGCTCTGCACACGAGCGCTAGGTCGTGAGAGTCCATAGCAAGAACTAGGTCCCTAAGGCATTCCACCTCCGGATACTAAGTATTGCAGTTCAAAAGGCGTAAGTTCTGATCACAACACGCCCTGGTATTTGCCCGTCCGAAGAGCACTTGACACCGCTCAAATGGAATGCAAATTACGTACCTGATGGGCAACTGTGTGAGATGTCTCGGCTTCGCTTCTGCAATTTATGAATTCTTCGACGTTGCCAGATGTGCTCTGAGGTGTTCAAGCAGAAACGGAGTACGTATAGGAAGGAGGGATGGAAGAGAAATGCGCAGGCCCGGCAGCGTCAGTACATACGGATCGGAGTTTGAATGCGACTTGAGCTTGGACCTTGACCTCGACCGCGACCATGTCGGCAACCAACAGCCCAGCTCCGGACACCCGCCAACAGCGCGAGCCCACCGTCGTCGACAGTGAGGAGCAGCACAACGATGACACCCCGGAGAAGTCGCTCTCACAGGAGGAGCAGCCTGCACATGGCGAGTCCCAGGTCACGGACGAGTCTACATCTCTTACTCTCTCGACCTCTGCTGCTGCTACCGCCGAGGCTACCTCCGCATCGGGATCCACGTCTGCATCTGCGTCTGCATCGCCGACACCTGCAGTAGCCGTCACCGCGACTGCTGGCGATTGGCAGGCTGTGTGGTCGCCTACCCACAACGCTTACTACTTCTTCAACGCCAAGACACAGGAGACGACATGGAACAATCCCCTGCAGCTTGCGGATGCATCTCAGCCCGTCGCTGGTCCCTCCACTGAACCCGGCCGTTCCTCCATGTCTCCCGAACCCCCCGCATCCGCTGCGTCGATGTATGCTCTGCAAGCAGCTGCGGCTGCACAGGGTATCGATCCGGCGCTCGCGCACCTCGACCCCAGCCTTGCAGGACCATCCACACCGGGCGCTTTCACATACACTGCCAAGTTCAACGCGCGTACAGGTGCGTTCGCACGCGCCGACGCACGCGACCCGAGCCACCTCTCTGAGTACGAGCGCGCGAAGCGCATGAGCGAGTTCTACTTCGACGTCAATGCCTGGGAACACGAGGTCGAGGCACGCAAGCTCGAGGAGGCGCAAGAAGAGGAGAGTAAGAAGCGCAAACGGCCGACGAAGAAGGATCTGGTGAGTTGCGATTGGATGTCGGTGTGCTTTATACTGACGATCTTGTGCAGGAACGGTTTAAGGAGCAGAAAAGGCTCAAGAAGATTGCAAAGACAGCGTGGCTGCGTACATAACAAGGCTCCACTGTTTTCAGCAGAAGTCAGTCGTCCCGGGCTTCTCAGTGCATGAATTGATTGCAGTGTCTATATCCATCCGCACGACACTGGGTTCGCGACATTGATCTGCGTTAGATTTTCAGTTTCAAACCTTCTTTGGACGTATTTTCTTTTCGAGGAGGTCCCGCTGTCATGCCAGACTTTGCTAGTAGATCGGTATCGTTGTTCTGTCGTAAAAGTGAAGAATGAATCAAGTCATGTCCTAAGGCTGTTGTTATGATCTATTCGCTGCGCCCGTATGTGACCCATTCGGCATCTTTGCTCTTGATCAGTGGACCCAAGAATGTGGACGGCAAGATTATTGCGAGTTGTATGGAAGCTTGCACCGTCCCCGGCGAGTTGATGGCAATTACTGGTGACCCCATCGATGTTTAGTTAGTGGTTGTTTTTTAAAAACTAAAGAGCTAAATGAACCCGTTGAGGGATCGAACCGGACCTCTGTTGCTCAGCATGGTATCGATTAAGCGCCCGGATCGTTTCATAAGTTCCGAATGTGCACTGACCAAATCTCGTTTACAACTCGTTCGTCGTGCGTTGCTGCTAACTAATATCCCTTTCGTCGCCATCATGTCCGCGATAGGGACACAGTCAAAAGCACAGGCCAAAACAAGCCTAGAAACGAAGAACTCGCACTCCTCAGTCGGCGCACCTGCACAACATACGCAGGGTAGCCGTAGAGGTAAAAGGGCATGGCGGAAACATGTCGACATTGGGGAGATTGAGACGGGCATGGAAGAGCTCAGGGCGGAGGAGAGAACGCATGGGTACGTTTTCGAAATCGATTCATGCTAGCGCATCCCTTCGAGAAATTCTGTTCCCTTCGGAACCAAAGCTTTCGTGCGTTGTGGACGAGAATGAAGATGAAGGATAGCATGCTCGCGCTGGAAGTAGGAAGAAAGCTTTTTAATTGACGGAAGGTGCCATGGAAGAATATAGCTTAGGCTGACTTTGGCATCTTTGACAGGACATTCCTGCAGAAAAGGACGAACGACGAGCTCTTCGTGATCGACGCCACGGGTGATGACCGTAGTGCGTCCCGCGTTTTTTTTCCAATACGCTACTCTCTCTCATAGACGTTTCTTAATCTTCGCGTCCTTGAACCCTTTCCGTGTCATGGAACCTCAGTCCGCGCTTCCCTCCCGAAACTCACAAGGATCAAATTCTCCCCCGCCTTAACCACCGCTGCAAAAATCCTCGCACAGCGCTCTGCCGTCCCCGCTGTCTTTTCCCGCACCACGACTTCGAACACACTGAAACGCAAATCTTCCGTGCACCTCACTCATGAGGAGAAGGGCCGTCTGCTGAGGATTGGCAAGAGGCCGAGGAAAGGGCCATTCAATTCAGTCGTGGACCATACTGAGGCCGGCGCTGGAAGTGCCTTGCTGGAGATGAGCGCAGCCGCTCAAGCAGCGGCAGAAGGTGCATGGGATGTGTGGGAAGAAAAGGAGCAGAATGAGGAGGATAACGAATTGCTGAAGAAGGTATGTAGACCTTGCAATAACTCTCGTGACAATAAGTAGACTCAGGGTGCTCTATAGATGAAGAAGGTGAAGCCGAATGTCTCGCATCCGCGTGAAGACATCGCTATCCCTGCCGTACCCGCTCCGCACGCAGGTGCGTCGTACAATCCGCTCGCAAACGCACATGAGGAGCTGCTACGCTCGGCGATCGAGGTGGAGGAGCGTCGCGTGAAAGAGGCGCAGCGGTTAGACGAGATGCGGGAGAAAATTGAACAGGGAAGGAAGGCCGCAATAGATGAGTGGTATGAAGGTGGAGTGCGGGGGATGCGGGTGGACGTGCCTGGAGATGAGGAGGGAGAGGAAGATGAACGTGAAGACCTGGAAGAGGTACAGGGCATGATAAAGAAGGCATCAGGGAGAAAGACGAAGCAGGATAGGCGAAAGGCGGAGAAAGTGAAAGCCGAAGTGTGTACCGTTCCGCCCGTACTTCTCTGCGGTTTGCCCTTACAGCTCACGTTAGAAACGCGCCATTGCTGAGCGGATAGCGCGGAATCGCATGCTCGCGTCAGTCGATAGCGCCAAATCGCTACGAAAGGCCCTCGCCAGACAGCAGGCGACGCGGGCGGGACTTCGAGCAGAGCGGGAACAGAAGCTTAAGGAAGAGAGACAAAAGAAGGGTCTCGCGGGTACGAAAATAGGGAAGCATCGCGTGCCGGAGGGGGAAGTGGACGTGCAGCTTGGTGAGGAACTCAGCGAGAGCTTGCGGGCGCTGAAGGTACGTCACAGGATGCATACCTACGGATATGCGATTGCGATGTATCGACGTGCTGACAACGGATATCTCTAGCCCGAGGGCAACCTGTTCCGAGATAGGTTCTTGAGCATGCAGCAGCGGGCACTGGTCGAGCCATGTGCGCTTATCTTGTGCGTCGTCTTTGCTCCCCTGTCTTCTTCATCATATCCCTGACTTGTCCCTTGCTTTTCTCGCATGTAAACTTGTTGCGCTTGGCTTGTACAGGCCGAGAAAACGCAAGGCGAAGATGAAGGAGTACGAAAAACATGCGTTCAAGCGGTTCGACCAAGAATCCTGATGTCCTTAGGCGGTACAAGCTTGCCGTCATCTGAGGTTTTAGCCAATGCACCGCGGTCTTTTACACCTGTGGGCGTCCTGGCAGCCGTTGCGCAATCACAGCTACTGCTTCACAGGACTGACGGTGCGACTGCGTTTGCGTAATCAACAGGCTCGTGGATAATCATGCTTTCGAATACGAATGTAGACTGAGCAGTTGAAGCTTGTGGCTGATCCTCACGGGTTGAAGGAACACGAACTTCTCACAAAAAGCGGAGTCAATGATCATACTGTGATCACCCACTCCGGTTGCGCTGCAGTATGCTGTATATATTTTCAAAATTATCCTAAAGCAAGGGGACGACCGGGAGCACGACTAAAATGGACATTTAGGGGATTGAACCCTGGACCTCACGCAAATGTCGCAGCATCCACTGCGCCAGATGCCCAACACAGACAAGACTCTTAATTTAATAACACCTGAATTGTTTAAGGATGCAGCTGCAACATACGCCTACACGTTGCTTGCTATCAATTAGTGTACATCAAATATGGCGTACACGACCTACAGTAAGAAGTAATACTACAGGGGGCAGCCGATGGCCTCGAGCCCCTACATGAACCCTCTATAGGGAGGATGGAAGAAGGCAAATGTCTAATGTCCCACAATCTTTCGTTAATCCGTCTCCAAAATAGCTACAAGTGCGTACGCTGCCGCTGCAGCAGCCCCACCGACTAGCAATGTGCTCACCGCGCCCCACAAGTAACCACCGACACCCTGGCCTGCCGCTCCGGTGATGCGCGCTTTGACGGCGCCGAAGATGAGGAGCACGATGCCAGTGACAATGCATGAATAGATCAGCGCTATGTGCGCCACGGGTTCTATGATACAGAATGAGCACTTCGGGGATTATACATCACAAAAGAGGGCTTACCGAGGAAGTAAGGAAGCAAAGGGATCAGACCACCGAGGAAATAACCCATGCCGATCGTGAACGCGGAGATGTACAGCCGTCTCGTAGGCACTTCTTCCATGCCCTCGCCAAATTTGAGAAGGAATGCCGACATCCCGACGTTTTGGCTCCATCTCAGCCCCGATTCGGAGTCGCTCGCGCTACTCCTGCTTGCCGTGTCGCTCCCGCTGGGGCTCCTGCTCAGACCTTCGCCGGACGAGTCGACCTCGACGTTCATGAGGCACTGAGCGACCGCCCGGCTCGTTTTTTCATCCACGCCCACCGGCCCAAGTACGGTATACACTTCACGCTCCATCTCGCCCTCGCAGCTGCGAAGGACGCGTGCACGTGTCTGCTTTCGAAGATAGCGGTAGTGATCGCGCTCCGCTTGGGAGGCGAGGAAGCCGCCGATGCCCATCGAAAGAGCGCCGGCGATGAGCTCCGCAATTCCACCGAGGATGACAAGCTTGGACTCGCCGAGGGAGGACAGGCCGGCGGTGAGCGCGAAAGGTACAGTGAGGCCATCTGAGAGGCCGATTACACTGAGAAGCGGTCCTATTAGCAACGTAACGTATGCCAAAACTAGATAATGGGAACTCACACGTCTCGGAGGACGTCAGGATCTACCAGTGTCCGCTCGTCATCGCCCGTGAGCTCTTTACAGCACACCCCACTCCTGCTTGGCTCGTCTCTGTCACACTTGGCGGCAGGAGGAAGTTCATCGTTGGTGGACGCGTTGAGAGGCCACACTGGGGGCTTGCTGCTGACAGTGTTACCGTGCTGACGGCTTGGGAGAGGAACAGATGGTGCGGTGGTGGTTCGAGAAGACATGATTGATGGTGGTAGGATACAGAGTGGAGGAATAAGGATAGTTGTGCAGTCGATGCGGAGAATGGATGCCGTTGATGATGGTGGCGGGTATAAAAGTGAGAAAGGAGGAAAAGTGCTAAAGAAGTGCGTAACAAGTCCGGCAATGAAACGAGTGCATGAGGCTGGTGGCGGCATGGAGCTTATTCGATCACGTGCACCGCGCTAGTTCTTAGTCAATACGCCCATTGGCTGCCACGCTCGCCAGCCTCGCGGCTAATCCTGTGACTTGCATCCTATCTTTGCAACGCCCACCATCCGATTGGTCTGCGATGGCCACACTCGCCTATTCGCTCAACGCCATATGTTGGCTCAAACATCACAGAAACTTGACACAGTCGCACGCGATGTTCATGATCAGTCGGGTGCGTAAGCGTCTGCCCCGAAGTGCCCAGGTGAATCGGAGACCAGCCGCGAAGTGGTAAGCTATAAGGTAGGGCCCTCGGCGATGTGTCGGCGAGCTCGCCGAGGTCCGCGCGCAAAGATAACGTTCTTTGATTTGCAAGAGTGTACAGGTGATATTTACGCACTAGGACATGCAGACATAGTACGAGGATGTACGCGATATCACGCCAAGCTATCCATAGCGTTCATCATCGCTGCGTGCGATTCATTGATACCTGCATTGAGACGCTAGGCAGCAACAGCTCGCGCACATCCTTCTCATGCCGGTTTTCGCAAGGCGGAACATAACGGGCACATTTAGACGTTAGAGAAAAAGTTGCCGCTTTCGAGTTGTATAAAAATACGACACGCCAGGTGAGTGCCGACTGGTCTTGCTCTCTATTTTATCCGAACGACTCTATCGCGGGTGGACTGGTCTCGAGTATTGTCGTCGACTACATTGGGTACTCAAACCGATATATGGCACTGTACCCTTGAGAGAGAATGACCTCCTTGGTGACGACATTCTCATGGCACATCTCCAACGTATCCCTTTTTTCCCTCTTCTCTTACTGATTCTCCCAGCCAAATTAAAAGTACCCTCTAGCAACGTCATCCTCATGGCCCATCACTTTCTCGCTCCAGAAGTTCCCGCTCATGCGTGCAATGACGCGGTCGTACAGTCACCTCGACCATGCGCTTATGCTCGATCACCGTACGTTGAATGGCACATCCTCGGAAGAATCATCTGCGCTCCAATTATCGCTCAATGCAGAACCTATCTGCTCCCTCGAATCTCTCCACGACTGATCTCCTCGCCTGATTATGATGCATGTGCTAGAGAATTGCTGCCAAGTGTGCCCACCCCCAACCGTTGATCCCCGCTGTGTGGCCGATATTGCTTGAAAGACCCGCATGACTGTCTTGGCATATGACCAGCCTTGATCCGCAACTGACATGACGTTTGCACTTCCGCTATCAACCTCGATATACGGCCAGCCTTCGCGATACGTCTGGAATTTGTACGCACAGCCCAACGCTGCTGACTGAGCGAACCGTATTTCTGGATTATGAACGAGCTATGGGCACAGGACAAGGGCTATGAGGAGATCCGGATGCTGTACGTGAGAGGCGCTAGATGTGCTGTTAGCCGCGCCCGACTGGTATCTTCTCGATTCCTGTTAGGGCCCGGGCGTATTCTGGGCTATAGTGCTCTCCTTCGTTCCAAGTGCTTTCCATAGAGCGCTCCGCTAGCATGGAATCATAAGAGCGCGTATCTGATGTTAGCCAGATACATGTTCCACGAACGGACGACGCCGTTTTCGCCAACAGAGTACGCAGATAGGAACATATTTCTAGCACACTCACCTCGAGTAAGAGGGATTGGCGTGTGCATCTCATGCAAAGATCGAGACAACTTATCACACTCACCAGCCGCGCAGAAATTCATTAGAAATCCGGTGGTTTGACCCAATTTTTTCACTACTACGTGGATCTTGAAATGGAACCATTTCGACTCCGCCATCACCGCGCCACAGCCAGAGAAGGTGGGCTAGCCTCGTGGCTGAACTTGCAGCGACTCGACTCCGGCTTGCATAGCACCCTGAATCCTTCGCGGCTTCATTACTGATCCTTGACACCATTTCTCGTCATCCTGAGATGTCAAAGACGGATGCATCGGGTGAAACATCTCAAGATACTGCAGAGGAAAATGCATTTCCGTCGGTCAGTGCGTGCGCGCAATCTGCTATGTATAACAAATTTATGCTCATTGTAGACTGATGTGCAAGCTTTTTCTTCTGCGGATGTCAACGCCGATATCAGCAGGCTTAAAAGCACCCTCGTCTGACTTTCGGAGGGCAGCGATGGTTACCTTGATACAGTGGAGGCCCTTGCTAAAATCTATCGCGATAGATTCGATCGCGAATCGCGGAGAGGTGATCTCGACGAGGCCATCGACACTTATCGGGAAAGCGTTCATCATTGCCCATCAAATATCCGCCGTCTTCCCCTCCTGCATGAACTAGCATCTCTTCTGCAATTACGTTCTTTCTCCAAGGACCTACTTCATGGGGTGATACGAGACAAACCACCAACTTCCATCGAACAAAAGCAAGAGTTAGAGGAAATCATCGAAGTGCAACGTCAGGAAATGGATATGTGTACTGCCGATCATGCAGTACACCGAGTCATTGTTGGCCAATTGGGATCAGCTCTCCAGCGTAGATCAAGGAATCTTGCGGAAATACAAGAAGCACGTCAACTGTTGGAAACGGCAATTCCTTCCTGGCCTGAAGCTGATGAACATCGTCTACCCTTTCTTTTGAATCTTTCGACACTTTTGTCCATGCTTGCTGGTGCAAGCGAGCGACATTCGGCAGGTCCGGAGATCGAAAGGCTTGTGAGCATCAATCGAGAATCATAAGGATACTATGCCTTTACACCGGAGGAGCACATGCAATACCTCCTCGAACGTGCAAAGTGGATTAGACGTTTGTGCAGCCCGCCTTTAAGGCACACCCATCATGCGGCTGGTTTGAAGGAGATTGCACAGAAGATATCTCTCATTTCTCCTGGTTACTCTCTCGTACGGCAACTCAGTGCAGAAGCCGAGGTATATGATGAAGAAATCGCAACTGTCGTTGAGGTAGGGCCTTTGTTTAAATATGCCGCGCATATTCTGAAATTGTATGAAGCTCAGACGGATTACACCTTGTCACGAGCAGCATTTAAGGCGATTCACTTCCACTCCTTTGTCAAGCTTGGAAGCTCCGGAGTCTCCACGCTCTTCGAATAAATTCAAGATGTCCGCATCATATCGTGCAAAGGATGATTTCGATGTCGTGGAGCTCGACATTGAGATTGCGAACAATCTGTCCTTTTTACTTGTAACCAGCGCTGTCAATACGCATGAGATCCGTACTTGCTATCTCAATCTTGCCGGATTGTTAAATCATCGCTACGCCATTTCCATGATCCCCGTGATCTTGATGCCGCCATCGAATATCAAGAAGAGTTGAGACTCTCTCTACCATCTGCAGACGACCTCCACGGGCTCCTTTGCACCAACCTTTACGACGCATACAAAGTACGCTATCGGATCACTGGTGCAATCGATGATCTGAAGCGTTCCGTGAGAATGTGCAACGAGTCCGCTCCTCGCTCCACAAATGCTGTTGGCCCATCTTTGCTACCTTCTCCAGACGCGGAGGATACACCGAATGAACCGGATCGAAACTTGCAGTCCAGGTCTCAAGTCTTTGACAGGCTCGTCCAAGATGTGCAGAATGGCGTAGAAATGTCTGAACCAATTGCAGTAATGGCGGCGAGCACCTTTATGAAGTTCATGGAAAGCTATTCGGAAGATCTCCGAGAACTGAACACTGTGCGAGATCTCATCGAGGCGGCCATAAACGTTGGTCAACGTCCGTCCGTCACTCAATTGGAATTGTACCTGTGCTGGTACCGAAGAACAGGCGAGCGGAGCTATCTTGATGCCGCCATGACTACAGGGTCTCAGGTCCGGATAGAACTCCGCATGGAAGTTCTGTACGAGCGATACAGGCGAGAAGGTGCCATTGCGCTGGGACGAGAACGGCATAAACCCGGCAATCAACCTCAAGGGGGGATACTACCTTTCCCCCCTCGGTATGATCCTTAACGCGAAGTATCGTCTAACAGGCGATCTTACCAGCATAGAAGAGTCTCTGAAACTTGAACATGCAGACTCCGTCGAGCTTGCGGAAGCCTATCTGCACCGTTATGAAAGATGGGCTCGCCAGGAAGATCTTGAATTCTCATTCCAAGAAGGACAATTTCGAGGAGCAGACGACGAGGAATACACTGCATTCGACGAGGATCATACCGAAGAACCTGACACTGGCAATCTAAATGATGGCAAGATTTACTGCAGCTACAGAGCCATCGTACATTCAAATGCTCTTCTTGCAAGATATGAACTAGAAGGAAACAAAGACGACTTGTTGTCTGCAGAAGCCATACTCTCGAAGGTCGAACCACAATGCCCCTTCACATGGCTCCCAAGTCTTCGGCATTGTCGGGCGAAGGTCCGTCATGCGATAGCGGTTTGTGGGAATAATACATCAGCATTGCACGATGCGATTTCGCTGCAAAGAGGTGTCAATGTAATCCTTCCAATAAACAATGTCATCCAGGGCTCATTTCTGGCCGCATTGGGCACAATGCTAATCAGTCTATACAGATACCAATGCGACATCAAAATCTTGCAAGATGGCATTCAATCTCTTCGCGATGCCGTATCCATCGTACCATCCGTTGCTCCACAATTGGCAGACCATATAATGTCGCTGGCAGCGTCCCTAGAGGTGTATTATGCAGATGCCGAACAGGATCCCAGCGTTGTATCGGAAGCAATGAACTTGTACCGCAGCGCAGCTGCTTCACCCTCCGCGCCGATCAAAATAAAATATAACGCTGCTACTGGATGGGCTCGCACGGCGACATTTTGCGACAATCCTTATGCTTTGGACGCATACGAGACTGCTATAGGAATACTCCCCCAATTTGCATCACTAGCACTCGATGTTCTCGATCGCCATAAAGCTATTTCGCGACTAGCCGCTGGAATTGCATCAGATGCAGCTGCCTGTGCTATCCATCTCAAACAGAATGCCAAAGCAGTCGAATATCTGGAACAAGGACGGTCCGTTTTCTGGCGGCAGTCCATGCAACTCAGAACCCCTATGACAGAGCTTGCTGAAAGGGATCCGGACTTGGCAGATCGTCTGATGGAGTTAGCTTGTGATCTTAACCTAAGCAGTTTTCGCACACGGCAAAGCGGTCACTCGAAAGCTCGCTCAGAATTCATAGCTCGAGAAGGTTCGAAGCGGCGAGCTCTTGCACTCGAGTGGGACGAGAAAATTGCTGCAGCTCGTACTATGGAGGGATATGAAAAGTTTCTCCATTCCCCATCATACACACAGCTAGCTCAAGCAATGAAACATGGAATCATAGTGCTTCTCAGTGCTACCGCTTCAACCTGCCATGCCATTATTCTCACAAGTGACCAGTCCGAAGCGCGCATTCTGCCGATTCCAGCTTTCACCGATGTACTAGCGAGAACATTGGCTGCAAATTTACACGAGATCCTGAAACGAGCGAATGGGAGGTCTCGTCAAGTTGATGACCAACGCCTAAGCGGAGTTGCGCGGCATTTCCAGAGTGATAGAGATAGGGCTGCATCCCACTTCAATCGCCTCCTAGAGGTCCTATGGAAGAATCTGATCAAACTGATTGTCGAATTTCTCGGGCTCCAGGTAGGAACACAGCCTCCTATTGCCATTCTTCACGCTGATGAGCATGGCAGACTGTTCCCAAACTTCCTCGCCTTATCTGGTGCTGTACAGGGTCTCTGGCGCTGTTGCCCATTCATGCTGCGGGAATCTATTCAGGGTCTAACCTTGTCAGTATCTCCGATTTCGTCATCTCCTCTTATACACCAACAATCTCCAACATCACTTCAGAGAATGCACACTTTGATATTGTGGAGCAAGGCGTGAAAGTGCTTTTAACAGGCCAGACATACACACCAAATCTTCCCGCCCTTCCCAATGTCACCGTCGAGTTTGAAAAGATCACTGCTGTTCTACAATCTTCTGGCTCCAACGCTGTCTGTACCCAGCTCACGGGTGATCATGCGACCCGTAATGGCGTCCTTGAGGTCCTTCAGGAATCTCATATTGCTCATTTTGCATGTCACGGTTTGACATCTACCGATCCGCTCAGCAGTGCTATTGTCCTCAACGATGGAGATTTGACAGTGGATCGGCTGATGCGTACCCCTCTCACGAATGCGAGGCTCGTCTTTCTTAGCGCATGTCAAACTGCTCAGCTGAATCCTTCGGAACCAGATGAGTCTATCCATATAGCCGCTGCGATGCTCTTCGCGGGCTTCAATGGTGTTGTTGCGACAATGTGGGCCATCAGTGACGCAGACGCCCCGAAGTTGGCTGAGGAATTTTACCGGCAACTGTTTCAAAGTGGATCGGTGGACTTCAATGATACCGCACAATGTTTGCATGATGCAGTGAAGCAATGTCGACTCTCAGGGGTGCCACCTCTTCGATGGGCACCGTTCATACATATGGGGCGGTGAAGAGAGCATGTTACTAATGATTTCTGATCGTTTTCCACTTCGAGTTCATGTATATACTGTATAGTACGGGTCGAGTTCTGTACGAGAAAATGTAAATCGTAAACGTACTTGTAGCATATCGGTCGGATTTTAAATCTCAAAGGAAGTGCCAAAGGCACCAGGTGGCATAAATGGGTTGTTTCCGCCTGTCGTAGTAACGGGATGTGGCGACGACGCAGCCGTTGTCCAGCGCTACTAGTACCTGAATCGATCGCCAGGCCGCTCTTACAGTCATCGCTCCAGCGACAGCAGTCCCTCCATTTCTTCCGCTTCCAAATCCACCTAGATTTTCTTGCGTATTACTCTGCATGAAATCTCCGTGCATGGAGCCACAAGCTCATCTTCGAATACTCTGGGATTCTACGCGGTCAGTACATCTTGCAACCGTGCTTGATATCGATCTCTCAATTTCATCGGCATTACTAATAGGTGAGAAAATGGGTAAAGAGCACCGTTAGTAGCATGGGAACTTACAGAATGATCGTACTAGGTCCCAACCTGAGTAGGTGTTACTGTTGGAATCTGGGCACAGAGCGCAGATGCGAGAGGCCCCGGTGCGACCTGCGCCACCGGCGTGGGAGAGTAGTAGCGCGTGTGTATATAATAGGGCGCGGCTACAATGGGACGGGCCATCAGTTTGGCTCCGTGGAGCCATCTTCTAGAGAGCGGGCGACTCCCAAACTCCTGGCCGTGCAGTGGGCTGGCTGGGAAACTCAACACAAACCGATCACCATTGACCAAGAGGCACTCACCGCAATCGACGAGAACCACCACTACGAGGTTCCTGTGTCACGGTAACACCGGACAAGAGATCAAAAAGACTAAAAAGGGACAGTCACGTGGAACGTGCCGCCCTGATCCCCCTGATCCCAAAGGTATCCCCCTGAACCCTATGTGACGCAAGAGCCTGTTGACTTACTGGTCAATGTTGGCAGACGCAGGAAAGGGTGAGAGATATATGAAGGAGCTGGTGAGCTCAGTGGGTGCTACAGGTAG